CAGCGTTGACCTTGGAGCCTATTTTGTTGTGTTCTCAGCATCGTTCATTAGCATTTTCCTTCCCACTGTGGATATATATATATAAAGCTGCCCTTTCATTGCTTTTTGAGCGTAAACATACTAGGGTGCTTCTTGCAAAGGGACTTTTATGTATTTATAAATCGAGGTCATTGTGGTACAAGCGGTTACTTGAGTGTACCACATTCATGGACGTTGTTTTATTTATATTCTGGGCTACATTTCTGTGTCTGGGGAAGGGTGAACAGCTAAGGCTTCTTGCGCCACTAAGAGAAAAGAAAAGAAAAAGTGAAGTAATCAACAGATCGAAAGCTGCTTGTGACTGCACACAAGGAAATGGAAATACTGTGAAAATTTATGAGGGTGTCTATGTTGTGATGTGCCCAAAGCACAGACAGATGGAGCGGCCTGGCTGGAAACCAGGGTATTTTTACTCTGGAGTGTGTGCAGGGTGCTCTAGGGGAGGCAGCGCTTGGTCTTCTCCTGCTCAGCACCGCGAGGAAGGAGCGCCACAGCAAGTGGTGTCCAGGGTATTTGGCTACGTAGATAGTCTTTTCCCAAGAAGAAAATCCTTGTGGAAGCTTTAAATCACTTCAGTATTGACATTGATCCATACAAACATCACATTTATAGGAGACAAGAACCAACAGAGTAAAATTCCAGATAGTGTGGAAGGAATGTGACTCTTGCACGGTAAAAGGAAACACCAATGTGGAACAGCATGCAGGATGACCCCGAGAAATGTTGCAGGTGCAGCAGAGGAGGGAGGCCAGAACAGAGGTGGCAATGCTGGGAATGAAGATGTGTTTTTGATAGGAAGCATTTTGGCATGTCTAGCACAGGACAGTTGTGCATTTACAGTTTTTCTAGCTCTAAAAAACAAGAACATGCATTAATGCATTCACTAGGCAGTTGCTAGTATAAAGATGCTGTCCTCCCAACTTGTCCTGCCCACTTGCTACCAGGGGAAGCCACATCACCTTCCAAATGTTATAATGCTTAATTTTGGCCTAGTATCATATTGGCAGAGGCTTTAAGAGCCATCCAGTGAGGCTCGCTGAATACAGGTTTTAAGGACGGTCAGGAAGGACGTTCTCTTCTATCCATTGAACTCAACATCTTCCTTGCTTAGTTACAGTACAGTAACTTTGGTAGCACTCTGTGGCAGGACCTTTCCCAGGGCTTTTTCACTATGGAGAGCAATTGACTTTCTTTCTCTTCAGTCTTCAGGCACAGACTTTTTGGAGAGGTGTGAGGGAATCTGTGTTTGCCCCTTCTCAGCTGCCAGAGCAGTTGCCTCAAATATCCGAAAAATTGAGATGTACCCTAGTGAGCCAGCACTCCAGCCGCAGCTGTGCAGCTGCTGCCAAGGGTTCCTGTCCCGGCCACTTGGGCCATGGACACGTGTTTTGAGTGTTGTTTTGGCGAGCTAAACCGGGAGGTCTTTGCAGAGCTGTCGGGAAGAGGAAGCAGTGGCTCAGGGTTAGTCACTTCGCTTTAAGCGGTTGTTTTGACGACTCTTCCAAGGCTGCTGACAAGTGCTGGCTTCGAGGTGTCTGTGCAGCCTCCCGTGGAGCCAGCCTGGGGAAAAGGGATGGGGACGCAGTGCTGACACAGGAGCTTGCTGGGCTCCCTCGAGTACAGCCCTGCCACGGGGAGCCCATCTGGCTCTTCGGGCACCTGCCTGCAGTGGGGACAGAGATGCAGAAACCAGGAGCAAGGTTACAAAAGCCATGGTGAGGCACACAGCGTAGGCAAGATTAATGTCTATATAGGCTGTAAGTTCTCCTCAAATCCTGCTTGAATGCTTCTTCTGTGCGGTTAAAATTAAACAATATTTTGGTTCAGAAGCCTGGCTGATTACTGTGCTCAGGGGCTGCCAGCAGAAGGACTGTAGGTATAAAAACAGAACCAGCTTTGCTCTGCAAAACCACAGTGCCTTTGTGGACAGGATGCTGTAGCCCATGGGCCATCCCACCTGTGGAAGAGCTGCCGAGAGCAGAGGTAAAAGTGCAAGCGCTGACTTTTGAACATCTCTGCACGTGGGGTTCTGGGTAGGGTAGAGGTGCAGCTCTGTAACAGCTGCTTCATGTATGAAGACAGTGTGACCTGACTGTTGTGCTAGAATTATTCCTAAGATGGGATGGGATAAATCATAGCGGTTAGCCAGGAAATCCTGCTGAGAAACATGTTCTTGATCTTGCTACACGGCCTCTGGGGGCTTCAGTCCAATTGACTGGGACAGGGCAGAGATTTGCTGTTCGTGTTTTGTGTGTCATAATAACTGTTTTGTATTTTATGAAAATATATCTAGCAGTAGCTGAGGGATGTTGACTCTGTTATTAGTGCTGGGATCAGACTCCGTCTGTTACTCTGCACTACTTTAGGTTGCAAAGGGGCTCTGGAGCTGGGGCTGCCAAGCCACCAAGTTGAGTTCAGGACAGCTGCGTGTCACTGGAGCGATATGGAGCTGCCATGACGAGCTGCTGAGAAGCTGCTCCTTGTAACCCACCGGGAATTACAGGCAGGGAACATGTTTAGCATCAACTGTTTCCAAGTAGCCATAAAAAGAAATGTTTGCAACATTTTAGGAATTGAGCTGGAATACTGTCTCCATTGAAACCAGTAGCATAACTCCCCCTCAATTCCATCCATCCGAGATTTAACTCTCCAATTGCAAAGGCACTCAAAATTGCTGATCTGCTCACCCCAACGGCCTTTGCTAGAGTTATAAACATCAGAGATGTGCATGGGGTGCATGTGTCCGGATAAATAAGAGCAACTGCAAATGATGAGAAGAAAATCTCTGACTGTATCTGGTTCCCATGTATGTGTTTCCTTCACCGCTCTGATCTGAATCAGGAAGAACAAAGGGCTTCTCAGAGAGGCCATTTATGCAATCACAAGGAATCCAAAGTGCTAATTTTTTACTAAAATTTCTCAGCCTGGCATTTTCCATCATCCCCACTAAAAGGAAATTAATGTCTCAAATCTGGATGTTTTCCAGGGAATTTTCCTTCCGTATCTGAAAGCATCTTGTGTTCACAGAGCTGCCAAGGAGTCAATGTGATCTGCGTTGCATTAATTTAAGCTTGGGTAAATAGCCAGCTCTGGGAAGATGTGGAGGGCCTGGCGTGTGTATCCTTTAGGGGCTGTATTCAGATCAGCTTGATATTCTTAATTTTAGAGAAGCCAAAAAGACTGTGTATAAGTAAAAAAAGACCTTTCGAAATGCGTTACTACTTATCCGTACCCCTCATCAGACTCAGCACGTCTACACAAGGACCACAGCATCAACCCTGTCCTCCTCAATCTTCCCAGCTACCTCCTCCCCCTTGGGCAGCCTTTAGGGAAAAGCAGCCAGACGCTCACATCCCTGTGGGATGCAGCAGCTCTGTGGGAGCTGCTGCTGACCTGGCAGCGGTGCCATGGCACGGGCAGCTTGTCCGTGCATGCCACTGCGCCGTGACATGTGTGTCCACGCGTCCCTGTCCCAGGACATGCGTGTCCAGGTGCCGCTGTGCCGGGACGTGCATGTCCAGGTGCTGCTGTGCCCTGACGTGCGTGTCCACGTGCTCCTGTCCCAGGACATGCGTGTCCAGGTGCCGCTGTGCCGGGACGTGCATGTCCAGGTGCTGCTGTGCCCTGACGTGCGTGTCCGAGCGCGCTGTGCCATGATGTGTGTGTCCAGGCACTGCTGTGCTGAGACGTGCGTGTCCAGGTGCCGCTGTGCCATGACATGCGTGTCCACGCGCCGCGTCGGGCAGCAGCATGTCCAGGCCCACTGGTGCCAGCCCATGGATCGCCACCACACTCAGTGGGCGTGCAGGGTGCACAAAAGCCCCCTGCCACCACTCAGATCAGACACAGGAAAAGCTCTAAATCTCCTTCGAGGCCTTGACAAAACTTCCCCGGGCTGGGGCTTGGCAGCTGTGGAAAGCAGCCAGGTGCTGGCCAGGAGCTCTGCCCGTAGCCATGGGCTGGGAGAGGTGGCTGGCAATGCCGGCGCATCAAGAGCGCCTATCGCCAGTGTGTGTGAATCCCAGCCAAACTAAAGGGAAGCCATCATTAGCTGAAAGGGATCAACCACATCCGTCAGTAAGAGCAGAGCAGCTCCCATGCCTGAGCACCAGCGATTACGAGATTCACTAAATCAAGTTTTCTTCCCATCCCTCTGGGTACTCTGGAGCACCCCAGCTGCTCTGCACAACTTGACCCCCTTGGCACCTATTTATAACATTATGGATTCATCCAGCCTTCAAACCGGTCAGTGAAGAACAACCTAACTATCTTTAAAGTGTGCACCGTAAATTAAATGTGCCAGTGACAGATGCCTGTGTCAAAGAAATGTCATTTTATGTGAGTGGTAGCTAAATGAAATGTATGCTGTTCATGGTTTCACACCATAGGCACCTAGGCCAACAAGTTTTAAATAAACCTCTTAAAGAAAATTAGTTATTTTTGTCTAGTGCTCTCAATTTTCAATTTGAGCTAATATTTACCTATTCCATCCAACTGAAGTTAAAATAAAGGGTGGCTGATAAGTATTTGTTTAAACTCAAGAAGCCCTCAACTTTTCTTTCTCCCTTATCTGGGTCCTCTCAGCTATCGACTTGCCGTCACTAATCGCCTCACCTAATCACTTTTCCATGGGAAGCAGCCTGGGACTGATAGGCGCCAAATATTTGGAAACCCAGGCTTTATTTGTTAAAGAAATGCCCCACTTTGGGAAAGGGGGAGAGGGGAGGAAACGTTTACCTTCTGTGTTACTGCCCGGAGGAAGGCCCGTCTCTGCGCCACGTGCCTGCTCTCGCAGCGGCGAGGCGCAACGGTGGCGGCCAGGCCACAACCTTTGCTATCAGCTAATGGCAACATTCTGGGGGCACTGCAGGGCTTTGCACGCCTCAGGGAGCCCTAGGTGCTGCCGCGAGCCTTGCCCACGCTTTCTGTGTGTGTCTCATCCCGCGGGTGTCTCCATGCAGGTGATATACCGAGCCCTGTCGCCGCCCTTCGCGGCCGAGGACCCGTACAGCGCGGCGGCGCAGGAGCAGCTGAAGATCACCAACCTGCGCGTGCGGCTGCTGAAGCGGCAGGCCTGCCCCTGCCGCGCCGAGGGCCGCCCGCCGCCGCCCCCGCAGCTGCTGCACTTCGCCATCTACGACTTCATCGTGAAGGGCAGCTGCTTCTGCAACGGCCACGCGGACCACTGCGTGCCCGTCGCCGGCTTCAGACCCGTCAAGGCCGCCGGCGTCTTCCACGTGGTATGTAGACTCTCAACAGCGTCCGCGCTGCAAGGGCGCAGGGTTTAAAAGCAGCTGGGGCACCGTGGTTTCTTGATCTGAGCATAGTGTTTGACATGTGATGCCATAAATTCAAAGAGAAGCAAGCAAAACCAAACATCTCTAAAAAGGAGGTAGTCCCCAGGTGCAGTTGAGGAGCTCTGTTTTCCTTGTGTCTGGGTTTAAAATGCAATAGGACCCACTAGGACCCCCTTCTTTCAAGGCTGCAGAAGTAGCTACTACACAGTTAAGTTTGTTTATTTCAGCTGATTGAAGCAAACGAAAATCACCGGTTCTCTTCTCCCCTCAAACTCTAACCAGCAATAACAGAGTATTTAGAAGATGATGAATACCAGGTGTTTTGATAACAGACAGGAAGATGTTTCCCTGAAAGCTGTAAGGATTTTGTGGTTGTGGCTGTTTCTGGAGGACCTCAGGTACTGAGTCAGATCTTGGGCCAAGAGTCAGGAGAGCTGGGTTTTGGCTCTTCCAAAACCCAAGAGTCCCAAAGGTGAAGCTTTCTGTTGTGATTTACTGTACACATCTCTGAATAAAAACCCTTGGCTCTGGTTTCAAGGAAGCTCTCATCACAAGAGCCATGAGCTCAAATCCTTCGGGACTGACAAAGACCCAAAATTCAGGTCTTCCACATCTTGAAGATGTGTCCTGTAGCTACCAAGCTGTTGGAGAAAAGACAGGCATGATGGCAACCAAAGCATTTGCCATTGAGATGAGCAGAGTCCAAACTTTGCTTGCAAGACCTTGGAGCTTGATCTCATGCTGGCAGAAAAACAGCAGAAAATTGCTTCAGTCTCTGAGCTGGGCCCTCTTCATGTTTTCCTCCCTGCTCATCTTGGCTTTCTTGACATAGGAAAGGTGGGGAAGATCAGGGCAGCTAAACATATTGCATTGAGTAAGGTTAAAAAGGGGAAGATCATAAAAATGTAAGCCAATTACTAGAGGTAAGAAGTCTGGCATCCATCCAGCTCTTCAGGGAATTCTCCTGTGAGTTAAATTATGGTCTCAAACATGAAGCAGACAGCATGTTTCTCTTCTAATAGAACTAGTCCTGCAACATCTTGGAAATATACAAATTTGAAAGCATGCAGCGCTATGATTGATACGCCTGTTTCAAGTAGCACTACTCCAGTTTTCACAGATGTTCCCTTAACGAAAGTCTTTGAAAAGATCTGTTTGCCTGGGATTATTTCAGTGTGATACAATAGCATGGGAGCGTGTCCCAAAGCACTGCTGAGAGTTACAACAGAGCTTGCAGCCAAATATACTTCTGGAGTGACTGAAGCTGTGGAAATAATAGCACATAGGTAACAGGGAATGATGGGGGAAAGAATCAAAGGCCAAGATCACGCTGGTAAAACAAAGCAAGAAATAGCAGCAAGCCCCAGCTCCAGCTCCTAGGGGACTGAAGAATTAAACTCCCGTTATAAATATTTATGTGGCAAGAGTCCCAAAGGTGAAGCTTTTACAGCAGATTTAACTCATCTGACTATGTCTCAAAGTTTTCTCTATGTGACCCATAAGAGATCAGCCAGCATCAAAGTCATGTAGCCCCACAGCTCACTGCAGAGCCCTGCTGTAGGGTTGGGAAAGTGATATTTCCTTTTAAATTATCACATTATTTTATTTCCAAGATGGTATCAAAATATAGTTGTGTGCATAGAAGATGGTGAAAACTGGGACTCTTTAGCTAGAAGAAGTCAAATTTCTGAAGAGAGGAACATTCCAGAGAGGGAGCATAAGTTTAATCTGAAATGGCCATTTATTTAAAAGATAATTCTGAAGAATTATGGTCAATTATTCGGGTTTGATATGGGGATTTCATTCTTACATATCTGGGGTTACTGCAGAAACCTCATTGTAAAATCAAGGACAATAAAATTTGGGAAATGTATTTGCATTTTCCAGTATTATTATAAAGTTTGACATAGTTTTTGTGCATTTTCCCACTGGAACCATCCTGAAGGATACTGCCAAAATTACGGAGCTGCCATCATATTTCAAAATTTTCTGAATCTTCCCCAAAAAAGGCTTTTTCCAAAAAAAGGTATGTGTAAGTTCTCTTAAATCCCTACTTGGACTCATCCTAGAGGCAAAATCCTACCTACAGGCTTGTTTTCAGCTCCTGCTTGGCCAGCGAAAGAACCAGGTGTGCTGTCCTTGTTTGGCTGGCCTGGGGAGTAAGCAGGAGACCTGTGAGGTCTCTGACAGTCCTCGCCGAGCAAGCTGAAGTGTTTTAGCCCTTTCACTCAGCAGCCAGGCAGAAATGCTTCAGCAAAGTGAGGTGCAGGTAGGTGGAGGCTTGTGGCTGCCACCCGGATGGGGATTTGGCAGAGAAGAAATGAACTGTGGGGACAGCAGGCCCAGTTCAGCTCGGCACATTAGTAGCCATCCAGGATACGAATGCTTCTTGATGGTGTGGCCATCTTGCACTGGGAGTCTAGTTTTTGGGGAGTAAAATGTTCAGTTAGTCTCCAGAGCAAAAAGCAATAGCCAGGAACATGCTCGAAGAGGCTCTCTGTGTTCCTCCCTGTGCACAGGAGCTCCCTGTGCCCTCTGCCCAGTTTCGCAGCTTGGGCAGAGCGTAGCAGAGCTGCTGCTCACCCATCCCTCCCCAGCACGGACTCTCTGAGGACAGCAGCTTTCGCTCTGCGTGTGATCTGAAGAAGGGCTTAGGTGGAGATATTTATAGGTCTACTAGTCCTAAATAAAGAAGGAAGGAATTTATATGTGAAAGCTTTGGGTTCCTTGGGAGCTGGAAATGCAGTGTCAATATTTAGGTGAATCATGAACCAATAGCTGGGCTCCTGCCCTGTATGGGAGTCTCCCCCTTCATGAGCTGCAGAGGAAGAGCAGAGAGATTGAGGAGGACGTTGGCTGTCTCCCAATGATGGCCAAGGTGCTACATGTGGGTAGTGTAGCGCTGACTGCCCTGGTTACGTGTGTGCAGAAAAGAGCTGTCAGGGCCATGCAGCTGCTCTTCCTTCCCTTCCCCTCCTCCCAAACCATCCGTCCAACACACACTGGCGTGCGTCCGGCCTTTTCCAGATAAAGCACCCTTACTGCCCTGCCAGGCACGTATCTTTTCCCTGTCCTGCACGGGGAGTAGGAACAAATTAGCAGCCTGGTTTTGTTCTTTCCCTTGTTCACTTTTTCCTCAGTGATGGTTTTAAAAATATGATACAGTAATTTCACCTTTGCTCTGAAGAAAGGAAATGGGACACTAGAACCTGAGGAAGAAAGAGCACTTCTCTATCATTAGGCAGCATGAGTATTCTTCCCCCTTCCCATATGGCCAACTCAGTGGCTGTTATAAATTGTTATCATGCTACAGCCATCAAAAGATGCTGAAGGTTTTCTCCAGAATGACCGACAAGATGCCTATTGTACCAGGAATGAAAAAAGAGACATCCTCTCCCCATACCCAGAAACAACCAAACTTTGCAAGAACAAGATAGGAGATGAGAATTTTCTCATGCATAAATTCGGTTGCCCAGTGCTTAGAGGCAGCGTATCTTACTGCATACCAACAACATCCAGTAAGCACAGCTTCCAGAGCTCACTCCCAGCGGTCTGAGTGCAAGGTTAATTTAAAGCTGTCATTAGCGACCCAGTTTGAATGACATGATTTTCCTCTGGACTGATATTGTGTCCATTTTCCAAGTAAGTGAAAGAAAAAGAGAAAAACTACAATTTTAGCAGTTCCAAGAAAGTCTATTAAAAGCAAAAGTCCCTCACGGCTACTTAGGCTGTCTGCTTAGACTGCAAGGTTTTGGGGACCGTGACTTTCTTTTGCTGTGCATTTGTGTTGAACCCGCTATACAATAGTGAGTTCTTGTAATATGGAATAATAAATAACAGGTGACTTGAGTGCCTTTCTTCTTCAATGTAGCGTTTCTTTCTCACTGTGCAACATTTTGGAGCACAAACAGGGGAGAAACTATTTTATAAGATCTGAGCAAGAAAACACACGTATTTGCCATCTGAAAGGAAGCATTGGAAGGTAATAATTTAGCAACAAAAGGCCATGGAAGGAAGCATGCCCTAGCAACTGTCTTTGTATATAGAAATCAGTGGCTCGTTTATCTTGCACAAGTCAACTTTTGTAACACTGTTTGCATTGTGGCCGCTAATGACTGGCATTGCGACGGGGCTGTCAAGCTCGGACGGGAAACAGCGTGAAAGTGAACTGGGATGTAAAGACCTCATGACAAAATGAAAAATGGTATGAAAAGGATTTTCTGCCTAAATGAGTCGAGCCGTGCGAATGCTTAAAGCGGGGAGACGCATGGGGAATTGTGTTTGTGTACTTAGTGACGCTCTAAAATGACCCCAAATGGCTACGCCTTGTGCTTAAATGTAAATTGAGGTGAATGAAAAGGGAGGGGAAAAGTGCTCTCTCTGTTGTCAATGCATACGGGTCAAATTCTACTTCAGGGAAGATGCAGAGCTGCTGAGGCATCGCGGGGGCCGGGTATGCGGCTCCCAGCTCTGCCTTGGGCCCCCTCAGAGCGGCAGCCCCTGCTTTTTAGCTGCATTTCTCATTCCCGGCTTCCCCGTTGCTCTCTGATATGATGTAACATTCGCAGGGCACCTGCATCTTGCGTCTGGCCTCGTACTGCTCTTTCCAGCATGAATTTCTCCCAAGTGCGGGCAGCCTGTTAGCACTGACATTTTGCATGCCGCTGCTTCGCTTTTCCTTTTCTTACTTCTTCTTCTGTCTATCTCCTATTTTTAGTTGTCGTGGTATTTCTTTCTAATGAAAATAAATACCTGCCTGCTTATGGGCTACAAGAAAAGGCTTGCAAATACTTGGTTCCTTTGTTGCTGCCACTGCGTAAGGATCTTTCCTGTCTTACTGGAATTAGACAGAGGAAAAACAAGACTTTTCTTCAATAAGGCAGAGCTGGGATGGAGGGATTTAAAACAGAGATGTTTCGGGAGGTAATCATTACAATGCTATTAAAAGAGAACAAGTACAGGAGCGGAGGCAAGGTTTTTGCAGCGCTGAGGTCTGACTTCCATCGCCCTGCTCTGGCTCTGCACTGCTCGGGGTGCTTCTGCCGTGGCACCAGCGAGCTCCTCAGCGGGGAGGCGGCCGCGCTCTCCACCGGTGCCCTGGGATGCGTCATCCTTCGGGGGTTCATAGGTGCCGCTGGGTATCGCAGCCCTGTGTCATAACGCTGCACGGCGCTTGCTGACCGAGCTCCCGCCGGGATGCTGACTGATTGAGTTCCCACTGGCTCCTCCATGTCCCACTGCTGAAGTGCTCAAGGCCCATCTGGCTGTGGCTACAGCGGGCCTATTTACCCACCAGGTTTTGCTGTGGCTCCTTCTACCCAGGAACGAGCTGAGGGACTGTGCTGGGCACAGGCACAGTTCAGGCTTTTTAGCAGCTACCACTGAACAGCCAAAGGCTTTGCAAAAAAACCCTGCCACAACCACCGTAAAAGTGTTTGGGGTTCAGTCATGAGATGTCCACAAGATCCAGGTGGGTTGAACAGATTTATGTTTCCATACAGCTGGATGCTTTGGGGTATATAAAGTACCTCTAAAACATTTGTCTGTGTGTGGACTGAAGAAAGATCCAAGAGAAAGGCAAGTTTTACTGAAGAGTGTGAATTTAGGAGAGGGGGGGATTTGAAGGTTTGGAAGAAGAACATTTTGGAAGTGGCCTGACAGAAAAATTGAAAGTATGAGGCCCTCTTGAGAACTAAATATGTCAGCTGCAAGACTGTCTTTTTTCCTTTGCATTTTCCTCTTATTCTTTTCCTAAGTGAGCCCATCCTGAAGAATATAGATGGCTTCACTATGCCAAGCCAAACAGACCAGCTAATATCCACCGTGAGGCCAAAATAGTGCGGCAAACAATGCTGGTTTAGTATTTGCCCTTTTAGCTGAGCTGCTTTCGGTGGCCTGTCAGATTGCACCCCGGTGCACACAGCCGCCTCGCTGTGCTGTATCCTATTCTTGCCTGCTTGATGATCCCAGCATTTTAATAAGCCAGGAGAGAATTGCGTGAAAAGTCTTTGAAAGGTTTTGCTGTTTGCCTTGCTGTTTAAAAGTCTTGCAAGGACTTTCCAGGTCGATTTTAAAGTTTCATCTGTACCACTTGCTTCTGACGCTGAGGAGACAGCAGCGAAAATCTGTTGAGAAAGAGAAGTTTCGGCTCCAGTGGGGCCCTGAGCAACAAAACTGTATTGCAAAGAAAACGCTGCAGGGCAGTTTGCCACCAAAGCTTGTGCTGGTTGCTCCCCGTTGGACTCAGAGCGCTGATTATAACAACATGATGACTCTCCAGGCTGGGAAGATGCCCCTGGGCTGTGCTTGATGCTTCTGCAGCCCTTTGGGGCCCATCTCCCCAGCATTCAGGAGTCTGCTTGAAATCAGAGCTGCTGAAGCAGGCAGCAAGGCAGGCCTTGTGCTAGCCCTCCTTCTAGTTCACCTCATCATGTGGGGCTATCAGGGTGCCTCCTGTACCTTGGCACTCCTCGTGCCCCAGAGACTCCTCGGGCTTTGCTGTGAGTGATCCTTGCTCTGTTTCCCCTTACTAGGTCCATGGGAAATGCATGTGCAAGCACAACACAGCAGGAGCCCATTGCCAGCAGTGTGCTCCGCTCTACAATGACCAGCCTTGGCAGGCTGCAGACGGCAAAACCGGAGCCCCCAGAGAGTGTCAGTGTAAGTAGCCAGCTGGGAAAAAGATGCAGCTGCAGGGCTGAAGCTCTTCCTCCTTGCGCACCTTTCCCTGCTGTTTCCAAGAGGCAGCAGATATCCAGGTGGCAGACAGCAGATATCCAGGTGGTGAAATACCTTAGCGAGCGGAGAGCCGGTGTCCCGCTCCCGCCCAGCGCCCCGAGCGTGTCTGCCCGTGGGGACAGCCCTGTTTGCGAGGCCGCTCGCTCGCTGGCTCTCCCGCGGGGCCTAAGCACGTCTTGGGAGATGTGGCCGGCTGTCTGGCAGGCTGCAGCTCACCGCAATGATCTGGAGATGGCAGGGCTGGAGAGGGGAGATACAGCTGTGGAGAAGGAGTGTGTGCACTTCTCTTCTGGGCCTTTTTCATCTTGCGGTCATGCCAGCCACAGCCAAGAGCAGTTTGTGGAGCTGCAGGAGAGCCAGGGGCTCGCTTATTCTCTTGTGCTGCTAAGGTGTAAAATGTTCAGCTATATGTGAGCTGTGGTCCACACTGTAACGGAGAGCTCAGAAGCCCCGTACAGACAGTTTGCCAGCCATCCCGCCTCTCGGTTCCCCCAGCTGCCCACGCTGTCCCGGCCATGGGCAGTGCTGGTAACCAGGCTTGCAGGAGCTCTAGCCTTTTGCGGACACCCTACCTGCTCCAAGCATGGGGCACGGGCTGCTCTCATCCCCGCAGCTGGGGCTGGGCTGACCGAGCTCTCGCAGGCTGCGCCGAAGGCTGGAGGAGCCCCGGGCCATGCTGTGCTGGGTGGCTCTGCCCACCCTGGTGAGGGCTCTGGGCACCATGGCTATCTGGCCAGCAGCACCTCAGCTCGCATCGCGCTGTCTATATGGGCTTCGGCGAGGATATTCTCCAAGAGAGGGACATCCCCTCGCAGCGTGTGATGCACTGTGGGTGCAATGGATTTCACTAGACTTCAGAAGTGCAGGCGTGTAGGCTCCCTCCAGCACCCACGCAGGGATAGGGGGATGCCACCCCGCAGGTGCCTTTTCCCTCCTCTTCCCTCCGTGAGGGACATGCAGGGGTGAGGTGCTCCTGCTGCTGGCACAAGCATGGCGAGCCGGGCTCTCCCACTGCCTCGTCCTGCGCAGGGCCAGCAGGGGCCTCGGGGAAGGCAGCAGCATGGGTTCACGCGTGGGCACCGCAGCTGCTGCACGTGGAGGGCTCAGCAGCCTCTGGTTTGTGCCTGGTGCAATCATATTAAATTGCAGCTCCATCCAAACCCTGGGGATGCTTTAGAGCTCCATTTCATTTAAGTTGAGCAAACAGGCCCTGCCTCTTGCTGCGTTGTTCTGCCAGCCGAACCTCTCCCATCCAGCCAGCAGCTACTCAGGTATGGACACATTTTCCTCCAAGACCTGACCGGCTCAGCCTGAAGGCTGCGACACTCACCCGGCCCTAACAGCGACTTTTAAGACTCAGTGTCTCCAGGGCCTCCAACACAGCCTCTTCTTCCCCCAGGGGCAGAGGGGCAGATGATTCAGGTGATCCCTTGCATAATCTCTGACAACACTTTTGTTTTGCCACATCAAAAAAGAGCTACTAGAGTATGAAGTACAGTGTAGAAATATTTTTATTTTTCAAAAGTGAAAATAAAGCAACAAAAGAGAAGCTACCCTTTCTTAAATGTCATTCCTAGGGAGTGGGAAATGTGGATGCAAATGTTGAGATACCTCAAACATTTGAATAAATAGGATGTTCCTGTCAGGTCCGCCATTCCATAGTGCAGCTTGGGTTTTCATTTTTTTATATAAATCAAGACCTTTCACTGCCTCAGGACGTCTTTATGTTCCCTTTGGCTTCATTGCAGCGTGCAAGTGTAATGGGCATGCAGACACTTGTCATTTTGACATGGATGCGTGGCTGGCGTCGGGCAACCGCAGCGGTGGCGTCTGCGACAACTGTCAGCACAACACGGAGGGGCAGCACTGCCAGCGCTGCAAGCCGGGCTTCTACCGGGACCTCAGAAGGCCTTTCTCTGCCCCAGACGCCTGCAAACGTAAGTCAGTGTCCTTTATACTGGGTGCTAAATAAAATAGTTAAATAAATACTGGTTGAATAGAAGGGTGTCAGGTGTCTGAAAGGTGAGGTCTTCCTGCTCCAGCTTGGAGCTATCCTTTTGCTCCAGCAAAGGACAGGGAGTCTCAGCAATATATTGACCGAATTCCCTCACTGGTGCTGTTTGCAAAAGGCCATCATGAGGTTTGCAGAATGAAAGTCGGCAACAGGGGCTGACTAGTGTCTCCCGAGGATCCCTCTAGCTTTGGGGTGAGGGAAAAGAGATGGTTCATTAATGTTCTCTGGCTATTTATGGAGAGTAATACTATCTGTGTATGTCCTTGTTTGGTGATGACTGAGACCCTGGGACGCGGGTGCCTTGGCCAAAGGGGGTGCAGTCAATAAAAAGCATCGCCCACCAGCATGTGTTCGCAGCAGCAGGTGGATACGGAGGGAGAAACAGGAACACAAGCTAAGTGATATGCCAGAATGCATGACAGCAAGGAAGCTAGGCCGGAGGGGATGATTTGGCCACATGTGAAATTAAATATTTCCCAAGGAAAAGCAGCGATCCAAGAGCAAAGCTCTCCAGGGACCTGTGTGAGCCATAGTGACTCACTGGAGGGGACTCCAGATCCCCAAACCACTCTGAGCTAAATATAGGGGCCTGTCATACTCACTGCTATGCACCATATGGCCACCCACTGACTCACTGGATTTTTTCTGACTGACCCAATCTGGAGCGGGGTCTTCAGGCAGGAGTGGCAGGGAAAAAAAAAACCCACATATGCCCCATTTATGTCACTGGAGGGAACACCGAGCACATTATCATCTTCCAAAAGATAAAACTTAGTTTGAACAAGGAGGATCTGGCAGTTCCTTTCCATGCCAGAGAGCTGCACTCTGGACTTGGATCACATGTGCAGTTTCACTTTCGTCTCCGGGCCACAGAGGGAATTACCTCTTTCATCCGGCTCTCGCTCTGCCAGTTCTCCTCCTGAGGCTTCCTGAGGCACAGCCAACATGCCAGGGAAACCTTCCTCTTCTTGACCTTTCACTCATGCAAAAGATGAGCAGTAGCATCTGTGTATTTTACAAACCTGATGCTCCACACGGAATCCAACAGGATTGACCACAGGTCTCCATTACTCAAGTAAATAATTTGTTTGCTGCTGTAGTATGTACATTAAAAAAAAATAAGAGCTTCTTTAATTACTTTTCAAAGTCCCTTTACCTACTCACATATGCTGAAGACACAAGTCCTTTAAACAAGTATGCTGAAGACACAAGTGCTTTAACTGTGGCTGTGCTGCCTTCACTAGGATTTGAATTCTTTTAAATCTTGTTGAATGTACATGGCAGTGCATGTCAGGGATGGGCATTTCTAAGTTTTGAAGACAAATTGACTGTTGCCATTCAATTGCCATTGAGTGGTCAATGTCTCCTATCCACACAAGCTGTTAAGGAAGTGAAGTTTTACAAGGACTATGATAGTTTTCCCAGGACTCTGGTCCTTGTAGCAGGTTAGTGCTATTTGACACAGTTCCAGCTGAACAGCAAATGCCCAATGACTGTTAGATTAAATTATATAAGGCAGCAAGTCTACACCTGGAACATTTCCAAGGTCTATGTCATAGTTTGCAATAATAAGGAACATGTGTGATGCCCTGTTATTTTGTCAGGGAAAGCCACAGAATTGCCTACTTACTTCTGGCTCAAATCACCATTATTGCTTAACTGCAGAGTAGCAATGAAAATTTTTAAATACCAAGGTCAAAGTAAATAAAAGAGTTGTTAAGCCATAATCTTTAAGGATACTTAAAATATTTTTTTAGGCAGAGAGTGTATAATATTTGCTCAGGAGTAGGTGTGTACCAGATAAAATGAGACATTTACCATGTGAAACAGCAGTCTGTACTTCTGAGTCTTTCCCCTCGCCATGCGTATTGGTCCTTTTCTTTACATCCCTTATGAATTTTTAAGCCTCAGCTATAGTACAATTGCAGACAATAAATCAGGTTTCATAACTGATGAGATTTTTTTTGCTTTTGGACTGTAGGGTTTTTAGGGTAAATGTTTGTCATTTCCAAAGGTTAACTGACAGCTTGCCAATCCAGGGAGGGAAATTCAGCCCCTTTGGCGTACCATTCCCTGGATTTCACTTCCAGACAGTACCTCTGAAGCACAGACAGCTTTTCCTTCCTGTGTGCAAGGAAGTCACATACAAAATATTGCCACAGAATACAATGATGCATACTGGCATACTGGAAACCCCATAACTCAGGTATTACCAAGATGCCCATGAGATGGAGTCATCCCCTCACCTCACGGACATCCTCCATGACATGCTACAAAAAAATAGTTTGTAGATGCTTTAGCTACTGCTCTGCTGCTTTTCCCGTCCTCCTTGGGATTGCGTCTCCTGCAACAAATACTACAGTGAGTTGCAGATAGGTTGAAAGGAGGAAAACTTAAAATCAACTCTAATGTGGCAGACCATGAGATAACAGTAAGTGTAGGCACCAGATTTCACATCATCTGTGAGAATCTTTAGAATTCTGTCTGAGTGTGGAGGTGCTTGGTCTTATTTTCATGCAATTCTTTTACAGTTTGTGTAACTTTCACTTTTGAGCATGAGAGTATCATTTCTGCACATACCATGTAGTGATGGGGAGCATTTTATTCCACTGCCATTTCTCAGCATGCTGTTCCCACCACAGCACATCACAAATATTTTTCATATTATAAATCTACCACTGCTAGTATCTAGATTAATACTAGTCAGTGTTACAAAGTGGGCTCCATCCCAAGATGCAAGACCAAAAAACTTTAATTTGACAGCTTTAATCCATTGACACCCCAAGCATCACTTCCTTCTCCAGAAGGGAACCCAGCTGCAGAACCAGCCTTACCTCTTGGAGAAACTTCAGCTAATTTGAAAATCTCTCTTAAATGAACTCCACTCCAAACAAATAAGACAAAATTCTGAATTTCCATTCAAAATTGTTTTATCGCTGTGGGCTGCTATTTTACATGTGCTGCAGTTTCTGGAGTGCTTTGAGATTTCTTCAGGGAAGAACTTTGTCCACAGAACAAATTTACACAGACGTGACGAATAGGGAGGAGCACATAGGGACAGGACAAGCCTTTAGAAACACACCTCTTTACAGCTTTAATTTAAAAAATACAACCAGTTGCATTATCACTTTTCATGGCCTTCAGTCCCTTATGAGTTTGATATTGTGCTTTTCACAATGCCCTTTGCAAGATTAATTTTCTTTCTTCACCACAGTGTTGCCACTGAATTTCCCAATTTCCTGTTAGGCAAAAAATAAAATAAAATAAATTTTAAAAAAAGAAATGAGAAAGCTTTAACTGAGATGTAAAGAGCTGCACTGGATTCCAACAGATTTGGGAGTGAAATTCAGCCGAAGCGAATTGAGCCTGTGTCTCTGACTGGTGGGTTTAGCTTGCCGGCTGCATGAGAACAGTACAGTGCTAAGTGCTTGAAATTTCCCCTGAAGGGGCTGAGGAATGCCATAAATATCCAGTGCGCCTCGCAGGAAAATAGAGCATTCGGATCCATGTGTCAGGTGTAAAACACTTCACAGACTTCAGGAGAAAGGTATGCAAGTCTCGCTGAGCCCTGTTGAAAACTATGCTATTAGAAGTGCTGGAGTTCACTGCCTGCAGCTAGTTACACTCTTTGTGGAGAGGCTTTCTAATCTTTTAATTTTATATAATTATATTTGGTGGGGGGAATGGAAAGGGTGGGGAAAATGTGAGGATTACTTTGACAAAGATTCTGGAATCCCAGTCTCCTCTGTAAATTGTCTGCCAATATTATTTCATCCTCTAATATTTTAAAACTACAGGTATGTCGAATCCCTCAAACCACAAAAATGTCATCAGAGCAGGTTTAAATACATGTATGCCACACTAAGTGTTTTAGGACAAAGCACGGTTGTGTTACACGAAGTGCCTTTTCTTTCTATTGCCTTCACAGCTGCAAAATAAATATTTGGTTTAGTATTTGGTGAATTTTTTCCTTCCAAATAGTGTTTCTTTTTCCCACAGGAAATTCACTTTTTAAGTAAATGGAAACTTAGGCAAAAGTATTCCAGGGAGATCTTGATTATCTTTTCATCAATCGTCATCAATTTCCATGTCCAAATAGCCAGGATGTCAGGTTTTTGGTTTACACTTTTGACAGTTAGAGGTCAGAATTTTAAAAAAATTATGTCTTAGATTTTTTTTTTCCCTTAAAATATTATGTTATCAATGGAGCAACAGGCCCAATGTGTTCATACAAAAAAAAAGGGGGGGAGAGAGAAGGGAAATTTCAAGGGAAATTTCGAGCCATCTGACCCAGGTGTCCTTCTTGATTTGGGAGGCTAGCCATACCCTGGTTGACTGTGTCCCGATGCACTTCCAGGTCATCGTTCAGCTGTAAGTGGTTGTGAGGGAGGCGGATAGAGCATCCCCCTCCCACCGTTCATCCCAACCTTGTGAGAGAGGTGAAGAGAGCCCCCGCCGTTGGTCTGGGATCAGATCAGCGGGGGGATCGCACAGAGGGATCAGATCAGCGAGGGGATTGCGCAGATCCCTGCAGCTCCTCACGCCGATGCGCACCCAGCAAACCCACGTTTCGGAGCACATGCCAAAGCTAATCTCTGAGTGCAGCCAGACTTTGTTTAATGTTTTGAAATGAAATGACACCTTTGCAGGCAAAGGGAGGAACTGCAAAGGTGCCCGGGTTCCTTCCCGCAAGGAAGTGCCCGGGTCCCATTTGAGCCTCAAGGCCGGGCCCTGACGCGCCTCTGCCTTCCCTCCCTGCAGCCTGAGCCTGCCACCCGGTGGGCTCGGCCAAG